ATTATATTATTATTATTATAATCATGATCATCATCATCATCATCATCATCATCATCATCATCATCATCATCATCATTATCATCATGACGATATTTCGACAGGTGATGATCATCATCATTGCTCGCATGCATTTTGCGCATCACGATGTAAGTGTACGCATACTTTTGTTTCCATAGTGTCGTAATGCAGTCATTATTATTTTTCCATGTTCCTGATGAAGCACTGAGGCGGGACTCCCCCTATAATTTTTTGCATGTTCCAGACAGTGCGTTTTCATGACGTCATTGCCCGGATGACAGGCACGAAAAATGATGCGCGCCCATTTGCCGTTTGCCGACGACTGGCAAAAATCTCGAGTCTGTGGTTTGACGCTACACAGAGCTGACCTAGATCTAGATAAGTCCAAATCTTGGCCATGAAGCCTTCAGATCGAAATTATTTCCTCAATTGCTTTTAAGACCGGCTCAAATGTATGGAATCTAGTGTAAAACAATTATTTCTAGCAAATATTAAATGTAATCGGGACCAAAAATATGCCTACGGTTCAAAATTATCCGCTTTCTTAGGTAAATCGAGGAGCGGCTACAGATTCCACGCAAGGCGAAAGATCCTGCATGTACGAAAATCGTGTTGCACGATAAACTTTGCGTGACGCAAGCAAAATATATAATTTGCATACAACGCTTCACCTGGAGTCGGCCAAAAATAACCAGTGAGCGCGAGGCATCCAGGCGAAACGTCGAACTTTTTCAGTGTTATAAATTTTGAAATGTTACGGTCTCCACCAATTGTTTGCCTTATTTTATCTTCCAGCAGTCAACAATGATGATGATGATGATGATGATGATGATGATGATGATGATGATGATGATGATGATGATGATGATGATGATGATGATGATGATTGTGGTCGTGGTGCTGCTCCAGCTGCTGCTGCTGCTTTTCATGGCGACTTATATAATAAACACATTATATTGTATAATTATTCGGTCACTTACCTGACTTCAGCGACGAACAAAGTGGTAGAAACTGGTATCTCATTGAGGCCCGTCTAGAAAATTGTCTATTTTTAGTAAGCGTTTAACAACACTGGCAACACAAATAGGTCGAATAAGTTCCGAAGATTAGAAGTGTTACCAGAGAGACTCTATACAAAATAAAGGGGGAA